CTGCCTAAACTTCATTCCCTATCTTCGTTTTTAGGAGGGCCAAAGATTCCATTTTCTAATTCCCTGCACGGAGTTTGTATGTCCTCACCCTGTTTGAGTGGGTTTTACCTCGAGTCCTCCGGTTTCCTCCCGTAGTATAAAAACATGCTCATAAACAAATTGCAATAACAGTCACAAGCACTTAACACATACATACTGAGTCAATCAGAACCACCATATTAGCCAAAGTATAAACGGGGGTTGATCTCATATCTCCCCTAATGCTCACTGACTAGGCGGGAACCATGGGCTCATCTGTCTCCGAGCTCAGGGTTCTCTCCCAGGACAGTATGCCAAACCTCTTTCTATAGTCGAGCATTATGTGTACTCTTTAAATAAGGATAAATTGTACAAATGAGATCATATATTTTTATGAATTAGCCACTAAATCAAAAAGTGGCAACACTTTACAATAACAGCACATGAATAATGTCTTAAAATGTAAACTAAACATTACTTGAACTAACGATAAGTTCATTTATGCACTAATTATGAATGAACTTTAACTGAGTCAAATGAGTTCATGTGTAAATAACAGCTATATTAATTACTTGTTATGATTGTTTGTTAATTATTGTATTATTTACCACATTAGTTTTTTGCTTAATTTAACCTTTATGAACTCATGACATGTTAATAAACAGTATAATTATGTCATGACTTTACTTAGAGGGGCACATCATCATTAACCCATTCTTAACTACTCATGAACTCCTTATGCACGTCCGTCTAGTGCATTTACATTGAATAACAATAGAAAAGTGATCAGTCAACATGAACAGTTTAAACACGGGAGTTGATGGGTAGTTAAGTTAGTTAGTAGTTAAGTAAGTTATTTGATGAGTAGTTAGCAAAGTTAATGGGAATGTGTCCCTCCAAGTAAAGTCATGACAGAATTATACATTAACAGCTCAAGAGTTCATGTTGGTTACATTTAGCTTTAACTTAAATGTTAATTAATACATTAATTTATAATTATGTACTAGCAAGTAATTAAGGTAGCTGTTCTTCACATGTGACTCATGTTGTAGTTAAAGTTAGTTCATGATCAGCGTGCGCAGTAACTATTCATTAAGTCATAATAAAGCAAAGTTTAGTTTACATATTAATACATCATTATTCATGCACTGTTATTGTAAAGTGTTATCCAAAAGGTTACAAATTCCTATGAGATTACATTGGCTTTTTCATTCTTTCTTAAAAAAAGAAATGGAACATCCAATGGAATCTCAAGGCAGTTCACTTTTTGATTTACTGACAAATAATTTAAGTATTATATATTGAATCACCAGCATAGCAGTGTGCATTCTGTAGCCAAATGTTCACAAATATGCAAAAATATGGGAAACAGTTGGATGGGGAGCCAGCTATAGTGTTAACCTATTTTGTGTGTGAATGCTTTTCCAACTGGGTCAAAGTAAAGCACAAACAATGTCCTTCTCTCTATAGTTCAGATAGCACCTATGCAGGTGATACTGCACTGTGAATTATCTTGAGATTATCTGTGGTTTGTGCTTTCACTGCCTTCATCTTTGCAATGATTGCATTCTCGCTAAACACCCTCCAGCAACATGCCCATTCACATGGAAATACATGGGTCAGAGACAAATGTCCCATTTAGGTGTCTGCATCAAATTAAATACATAGAAATCATTTTAAATTCAAGTAATCTGTCAAAATATGGGTAAAATAGTGTTCCATCATCGTTCATCTTAACCCTTTACCAGCCTGCTGTACCAAATGGTTGACCATGTTTTGACTGTTTTAAATAATGACTGTTAAAGCCATTAAAAGACTCGGTTTTAAATAATGGTTTACACACACAGCATTGTTGGTTTACAAAAAAAAAAATAAAAAAATCTAACAAACATAATCCTGCTGTACTACTACACTTGATTTAGATTTTATTGTAAAAAAAAAAAAAAAAAAAGAGAGAATCTGAAATATTTTATGGCATCTTTAAAATAATAAAGATTATTTATAATTCAAAAATGTTTTTTTTATTATTTATAAATAAATTGGTCTTACACTTCATGTTGTCAGATTTTTTCATAGTATATGTATTGATTACGGTACTTTTACCATGAACCAACATACCAACGATTTGGTAGAGGTTGATATTTTACAAGTTATGGGATGTGTTAAAAATGTATTGAGTATTTTAACTAGTGACATTAGGTGTTGCATTGCAATCCAAATGTTTTTTTTCTTGATTGAGCAGTTAAAGGGAAAAATTAAACAACAATAATTGTGAGCTGCACTATAAATGTGTCTAAAATAATATATACAGTTGAAGTCAGAATTAATAGCCACCCCGAATTATTCGCCCCCCTGTTTATTTTTCCCCAATTTCTGTTTAACAGAGAGAAGATTTTTCAACATGTGTCTAAACATGATAGTTTTAATAACTCATTTTTAATAACTGATATATTTTATCTTCGCCATGATGACAGTAAATAATATTTGAATAGATATTTATCAAGACACTTCTATACAGCTTAAAGTAACATTCAAAGGCTTAACTAGGTTAATTAGGTTGACTAGGCAGGTTAGGGTAATTAGGCAAGTTGTTGCATACCGATGGTTGGTTCTGTATAGACTATCGAAAAAAAATAGCTCAAAGGGGCTAATAATATTGTCCATAAAATGATATTTTAATATATTATAATATATAATAATATAATAAATTAAAAACTGCTTTTATTCTAGCCGAAATAAAACAAATAAGACTTTCATCAGAAGAAAAAAATATTATGAGACATGCTGTGAAAATTTCCTTGCTCTGTTAAACGACATTTGGGAAATATTTAAAAAATGTAAAAAAAATAAAAAAGTTAAAGGGGGCTAATAATTCTGACTTCAACTGTTTATATAAAAGAATGACAGATGATCATAAGAAATGTAATTGTATTTTAAGTTTTTAAAAACGGTTAATTAGTGATTCAAATGAGAGTGGCAAAACATAAAAATCTGAAATGACAATTCATTGGTATTTTAGGGTTGCACTATGATCCAGTCTTTTAATATATTTCTAACATTTAATATGTATATATATTTTTTGTGTACAGTGAATGACATTTTAGTGAGGCATTCTTTTGTGTGCTCAGAAAATAAAAGAAAAAATCAGCAAAATTCTGATGTAAAATCATTCTGATGTAAAATTTAAAGAACAATTTAGAATCAAATATAAAGCTGATTATAAAGCCTTTCCACTTTTCCAGGTATCACAGTGAATGGGGAGCACAATGTATGGTAGAATATAACAAATAATTCTTTTACAATCTTATTTGCTGAAATAATGAAAGAAAAACTCCCAAATGGACTTTTAGAAAAGGAAAAAAACTGTGTGGTACTGATGATGGCAGCCAGAGGAGAGAATAACATCAAATGTACTGTCCTGTCCCATAAACACTGCATTAGAAACACCTTGCATAAGCGGTCATTCGTTTTTTGTAATTTGAAGCAAAGATGATGTAATACATTCATAAATGGATATAAATGTTTATACAATTTAAAAAAAAATCCAAATATTAAAAACTTTCAAGGATTTAACATGCTGATGACCGTTAACCGCATTATAACAGGCTTATGAAAAAGTTCCATTAAACTTTTATTACTTTGATTCTTGAAAACCGACCCTTTTTTATTTACTTTCAGACACACATACACAGAAACAAGTGAAGAAGTACTCTCTATGCCATTATATTTCATTTTTTTTCTTTAATGGTTTATTCATTTATTTTTATGACATATTTATTTATAATTTATATATATGTATATATATATATCTTTATATATTATTGCTGCATTGGAGCCTTATTCAGTATAGACTCTCTCTGCCATTCCCATAGAGCAATAGATCTCCTTCCCGCATGCTTCAGAATACACCTCAAAAATACTGGGTGCAAAAAAAGAAACTGTCTGTTTCTATACACAGCTCTTAACACTATCTAGCCATTCTAATAATGCATCGTAACATGCCTTTGTCTGGAAATGCCCATAGTATAAAATCACAATTTTCCTGTCCATTACAGAACAAATGCAGATAAACAACACAATTATTGTTTTTTTTTTTCTTTCATTTTTTTCTTTTCTTTTTGGCAATCAATGTGTAACTCTTTTTTTAAAATAATGGCAAAAGCTACATTTCATTGTGTGAAATACATGAATGCTGCAATATCGATATTCTAGGATATGTACAGTAATGATTTGGGGGTTTGTGAAATAGAGGGATTCAGGGGACCGTGATGTGTCAATGTTGATTTCTGCATGACGATGGAGTCTCTTATATCCCTCCAGCAAACGTGGGGGTGGCTTTTCAGAAGATAAATGTTCATTTTCTCTCCAAGCCTTGTATACTTAAAAGCTATATCTATAAAACTATGCGTAAAGACAGAAAGAGAGAAATTAAATGACAGAAAGCGAGTGGGGGAGAGGCGCAGAGGAGTCTGTGCTGAGGTACAGGTTTTTTTTGTCTTCCTTTTTACTCTGTCTGGCTGTTCAAAACGTGAGGGATGTCTCAGCAGTGACCCCGGAGAGGATTTTTAAATATTTTACATTGAGTCACAAGCTGAGCAGTCCCCTCGCTTTATTTCTACATCTTTTTCTTTCTGACATCAAGCAACTTGAATCAATTTAATTCTTAAATTTCTCTTTTTTTGCTGGAAGACTTTTGTTGTTTAGTGGGGCTCAGAGCTATCAGTATGTGTGTGTGTGTGTGTGTGTGTGTGTGTCTGTAATATGTGTGTAAATATGTTTTAGTAACATGAGCCCCTGCTACGTTCCACTCCAACCATCATTAAAGTCTGAAAAAGTCATTTAGAATGTCAAATCTGATCTTCGTCCTTTAGATTTTTTTGTTTTCACCCTACCCCCTCTCTCACCCTGATCGAACTATGCATAAATATCACATGTCAAGTCTGCAGCACAGGGCGTGGCCGTCGCCTCATCAGCCACTCCCAACCTCGTCTAAGCCCCTCCCCTATTCGCTGTCAGACATAAGCTGATTCGCTAGACTGGGTGCGGCCCAAGTTGGGCACGGAGGACAAGTGAGACACATCCTTTTTTCGGATCTCACAAATAGACTTTCTACGAGCTTGGACGCCACGGATGGCCGTCTTAATCTTGCGCCAGCCAAGGTGGTTGAGCTCAGCCAAATTTAGCACCACGCAGATTCCGCTAACTGCGAACATGAACACCAGGAAAACTGTCTTCTCTGTGGGACGCGACACGTAACATTCAACCTCCTTCACGCAAGGGTAGCGGTCGCACTCAAACATGGCGGGAACATTGAATCCGTAGAGGAAGTACTGGCCGGCTAGAAAGCCGATTTCCAGAACGTTCCGGAACACCACTTGGATGACATAGAAGCGGGAGATGCCTTCCTGCTGGCGGATCTTGGCACTTTTGGAGTATGTCACCCCCGCCGGGATGTTGGGAATGTCTTTCAGATCCAGACATTCGCGGTCGTCTTTGCTTTCCGGGTGCACCAGGATGCCGTTGATGTTGCGGAGCTTGCGGCTCGGCCCATGACCGTGGTCGATGTAAGGGCCATGCAGAAGTGTGTAACGCTGGTCTTTGTGCTTGGCAGACTGGTGCACAGAGTATGTGATAAAGCAGAGGCTGGGCGTGCAAACCAGGATGATCTGGAAAACCCAGTAACGGATATGGGAGATTGGGAAGGCTTTATCGTAGCAGGCCTGGTTGCAACCCGGTTGCAGTGTGTTACATATAAACATAATTTGTTCGTCCTCATACACCTTCTCTCCCACTATACCCACGATCAGGATCCGGAATATCACCACTACTGTCAGCAGGATCCTTTAGGGAAAAGAAAAGAGGAGAAAGGAATAGGGAAGAAAGGGAAAAAGAGAGAAGGAGAAAAGATTAGAGTTTTTTTTATTTGTTTTATTTTGGGCAAGACTAACAATCAGCACATCTTTACTAATTCCGTTTCACATAAAAATGCAGATAGTAATTACTTTAAACATGTCACAGGTATTTAGCATTTTAAATCACCTTCTTCTGGTTTAAAGCTTACAGTTGTACAGTTCTTTCACATTTCTATCTCGCTGTCATCCCATAAAAGTATTTTCTTGTATTTTCCCGTATTTTCAGTCTTTCTCTGAAGGATGGCAATAAAGAGCCGATCCTCCCTTATACGAAACCCATACCGCCAAACCACCAGGGTACGGCCCTTGCTATTAAATATGAGTCCGTTCTTTGTGTTCCGTTTATTTAGGCATGAAAACACTGTGAAAAAAAGATAAAAACGGATGGATTCCTTTTAATTTCAGGTGCCGTCGCCCCTCCTATGCAATCCTCAAAACAGTCATATAGCGGTGCGTGACTGTCCACTGAAATTGCTCCATAGTGATAAATAGATGCTGTTTCCCAAACAAATTCTGTATACCGGATTTGAGGTGGAAAGAAAGTCTGGGTTTTGGGTGCGTGTTTGAACAGACATATACACATAATTAATAATAATTACATCTAAAGATGTCGATCTTGGTGTTTTTTTTTTTAAACACAACTAATTTAGTCCCAAATGAGCATAAAAAGTTAGGAAAGCAATCGAATGCTTTCATTATAATGTTATTTTAATGCATTTTTGAAGTGACACCTCTTTTATTCTATTCTATTTAAGGTAATTAATGTAATCAAATAACAACTTAATGTAATTTAATGGAATCAATTGAAATATCATAATAAATGAGATTCTTTTGTTGCTTTTAATCAGATTGTATAGTGAAGAAAAGATTAATGAGATTTGATGACTTGATGCTTTTAATGAAGCTTGAAGCTATTAATTTTTATAAGCTAAACTGTTTGTTCATTTATGTGCTGCTAATGTATTCTATTTATTTATTCTTTTGTAATAATAATAATAATAATAAAACATATTACTGACCGTTTAAGTGTTTATTTACAATGAAACAGCTCCAGAATAACAAATTTAGTAGTTTGGGATTTTTTTTTTTTTTTTTTTTTTTTTTTTTTTTTTTTTGTGGAGGTGGTGGTGGTAGTGGGGGGGTATCCCCTATTATGGTGGGCATTTCCCTTATTTTCACATCCCAATGTTGACAGGTATGGCCATTACATTTAAACTTAATAGGAATCCTTAAAGAAAAAAACACTTTTCTTATATATCTAGTTTAACATGTTAGCACTTGTTCAACCAATGTGGGCTGTCCTTTGTATGAGGAATGACAGTGTGTCAATTCATCAATGCATTTTGGTCATACATTTCATCCATTTTGACTGCTGACATCATGGCATTGTGATGTATGCCTTCAAAGTATGACAACTTTTTGATTGCAGAGATTGGCAGTTGTCCATTTGCTGGCATTTGCAATGTAAATGTCCAACAGTGTATTTTGTGTTTGTGTTGTTAGTACCTACACCTGATCATCAACTCTGCTTGTTTGTGACCCTACATTATTTTGTGCTGTTCTTGCTAGATTGTGTTGGTCTTTATGGAGATGAGTTGCTGTGTCTGTGTTTTTTAATTTACGCAATGTCAGTAGATTGCCGGCAGAACTTTACCCTCTCATCAGGTCTCACACTAATTTGCCCTTCCCTTAACCCTTTGACTTTCCCTTTAAGAAAAAACTAATTGAGCAATATCTTTGGTTTAGTTGTACTTCTGACCACTCGAAGCAGATTTGGAATTTTTTGTTTTAATGATAACCAAAAGGCCGTCATGGTGGCTAAGTGGTTAGCACTGTCGCCTCACAACAAGCAGGTTGCTGGTTCGAGTCCCGACTGGGTCAATTGGTATTTCTGTGTGGAGTTTGCATGTTCTCCCCATGTTCACTTGGGTCTCTACTGGGTGCTCCAGTTTCCCCCACAAGTCCAAAGACATGCGCTTTGGGTGAATTGAATACACTAAATTGGACGTAGTGTATGTGTGTGAATGAGTGTGTATGGACGTTTCCCAGTACTGGGTTGCAGTTGGAAGGGTATCTGCTGTGTAAAAAATGTGCTGGATAAGTTGGCGGTTCATTCCACTTTGGCAGCCTTAATAAATGAATGAATGATATAACGAAAAGGTCACCAGGCATTTAAAAATGACTGTTACAGGGTTTATAATACACTGGCAAACCTGTGCAGGCCATTCAAGAGCGCCTTTCATATTTCAGCATTCATTCACGTGTGGGTATGTGTGCAGGCATATGCTCCCAGATGAGGAGAACTGGGTCATACTGCATTGAGGCCATCAGAGTTTGTGTTGGGACGACTGTCTGTGTGTATGTATGTGTGTGTGTGTGTGTCCCTATCTCTGCTCACCCATTAGCTAGCTGCAAGCTTAAAATTGGTACTTATCAATCTACACAAATCTAGACACAAGCACAGACTAAAAGTGACAGATAAAAACAGAGGAGATGCAGGTAATGTCGGATCATTTATTTTACGAATTTAACATAGATGAATGGCATCTCAAAGTCATTATTATGAGTGGATAAACTGGAAAATCAGCTTAAGCCCAGAGTTTCTGAGTTGCTGGGCAGGGTGTCATTGAGAAACATGGCGTAATCAGGTTATTGATGGTAATTTTTTGTTGAAATTGTCAAAACTGCATGCCTGACTAAGGGATATAAAAAGATAGAGAGAGATTGCAAAAATGAAACATAAATCACTAGCAAGTTTTTATATACAAAAAAGCTTTTGAATATGACATTGCTATATGATAAAGTTTTTATATGATTCAACTTAAAGTGGCTTCGTAAATTGTTATAAAAACCTTGAAAGTGAAAAACCTTCATTAGTTAAAGTCTGCATCAAAGTTTCTAATGTTTGTTTTGCTCATTTTTTATTAAAATCTGACCATTTGATTCTACTCTTGAACGGCAGTCCTTCTCTGATGGCATCAGTTAATGCTTAGCCCCGCCCCTCCAACCATTAGTTTACTATAAGTGAAAGATGAGAGGAGGAGTGAGAAAAAACATACACACCCTCCTCAATATTCAGTTTCATTTGGAAATACATCATCATCATCATACTGAGACAAAAGTAATGAACTTTCAGTTCATTTTGTATTCATTTCATTTATTCATTTTTCTTTGGCTTAGTCCCTTTTTAATCAGGGGTTGCCACTGTGGAATGAACCACCAACTATTCCAGCATATGTTTTATGCAGTAGATGCCCTTCATCTGTACACACTCATTGACGCACACACACACTACGGCCAATTTAGTTGATTCAATTTACCTATAACGCATGTCTTTGGACTGTGGGGGATACCAGGAGGAAACCCACACAAACACAGGCAGAACATTCAAACTCCACACAGAAATGCCAACTGGCCAGGACTCGAACCAGCGACCTTCTTGCTGTGAGGCGACAGTGCTAACCACTAAGCCACTGTGCCGCCCCTGATTTTGTATTTTGTTGTAATTATTCAAATGAAGATGGACCGCCATCTTGTGCATCTAATGCCATAATTATGACTTGTTACCTCATAGCAAGTATGAAGGACACGAACCGAGGACATGAACACAGCAACTATCCCACAATCTCACATGTAGGACACTAATGTGAATGTCCCGATGAGAAGTACAACACCTTAGAGCTTTTCACAGTGGGCTCAATGTGAGTATGCCATTTAGAGCGAGACATTTCCACCCTTCTGTCTTACATACACACACACACACACACACACACACACGCACACACACACACACACACACACACACACTCTCTCTTGAGATGCAGCTTGTGCTCACAAATCTTGCTGGATGTGTCTCGCTCTCTTCCACTCTCTCGCTCTCTCTCTCACACACACACACACAGACTTGTGGTGAGACCGTCCTTCACTCACAGTAACCTTGCTCTAGAACCTGCTATGACGTTATTACATTGCGGGTTGGTCTTGGTGCATGAGAACATATATTTTCTTACACATCCACACACACACATACACATATTGTGTGAGCTATATACTGTATATTTTACATTCTGTTAAGGTTGCTATGTTGAATATTCAGCATTATTACTCAAGTGTTATGTCTTAACAAATGGCAAGCAGAATGGGATCATTCATTCATTAATTTTCTTTTTGGCTTATTCCCTTTATTATTTAGGGGGCGCCACAGCGTAATGAACCGCCAACTTATCCAGCATATGTTTTACGCAGCGGATGCCCTTCCAGGCACAACCCAATACTGAGAAACACCCACACAGTCTTGCATTCACACACTACGGCCAATGTAGCTCATTAAATTCACCTATAACGCATGTGTTTCGACTGTGGGGGAAACCAGAGCACCCGGAGGGAACCCACGCAAACACATGATGAGGTTCTTTACACAAGATGCTGTAACGGACACACAAGACTCACACATGAACATTTACTCAAAGGAGAAAAAAAAACAAAATGTCAGTGTTGCCACAGAAACAAAACTTTTGTTTTAGATTTTTATTGTATATATTATCATAATTATTACTACTTTTTTTGTGTATTTTTTTCTTGCAAATATTATTTATTGCTGTTGATGACATTTAATTGTTAGAATATATTTATAATTATGTAATTATTTATAAAATATCAGTTTTTTTTACCATGACATAGCCATGAAAGAGACGCTAATATGGCAATAAACTCAAAATTCTCTCTCTCTATTCAAATCTCACATAATCATTCTAAAAATTCCTGAAAATTATAATTAATAAAAACACATTAGAATGAAAAAAACAAATAAATGTGAAAATTAGTAAAGAATGTGTTAAAACTATAATAGTAAAAACAATTATTAAAGAAAAAATACATTTTAATCAAAATCATAACTATAATCAATTTAATTTGAAAAATTCAACATGA